GTGTCTTGTGTTTTCCTATGAGCTTTGATGCAGCTGGTTTAGTCCTCGCCTGGGATGCAGGAGCCTCTTAACTGGTTTCTGAATTTCTCGTAAAGGGAATTGGGTATGTGTATTGTTGAGTTGTGTTTCTATGGGAGGAAGGAAGGCCTGGGGCTTCCTATTTTTCCATCTTGCTGAGGTCACTCCGATCAAGGACATTCTTAAGTGAAACTGGCTTTTGTTTGTGAATGGTCATGAAAGATATAATGAAACAGTTTGGTGACATCTTACATGAGACTGGCTATATTCTTTCCTTTGATTTCTTGATAATGAAGAATTCAATGAGACAGTTTGGTGCTACTGCCTTGATAAATGTTAAGGTGCTAACCGTCTTAACCTTCCTTTGCTTTTGAATTATTAGGGCAAATGTCATTACAGCAAAAGAAGGGAAATGAAGTCTTAGTATTATTATGAATATAGTTTTGACCTTGCAGAACTCTAGAAAGTGTCTTGGGGATCAGGGGTTTGTGAACCACACTATCAGAACTGCTACTTTATCAAATTACAAGTCTTTTTCTATTCCTGATTTTCTAAAAGTCTTTTTAAAAAATAGTGAATGGATGTTGAATTTTGTCAAATGTCTTTTATGCATAAAAGGACTTTTAGAAAATTAGGAATAGAACCTATTCCTGAATTATTGTGTTATTTTAAAAGTCAGTTTAATGTGGTGAGTTAATTTGAACCAACTTTGTGTATTTGGGATAAACCCATGTTAGCCTTGATGTATTTCACTGTTTTTCCATTTATATATCTATCTCTCTATATTTAATACTACACATGTTTAAATACCATAAGTCACTATTATTATTATTCAGTTAATATTAAATTAGAATTACCTATATACTTAGCACTTTTTTCCCTCATTTCTTGCTGCAACTCTAAGGTTCTATCTGGGATCATTTTTATCCCGCCTGAAGAATGTCCTCAAGCATTTCTTTTAGTATGTGAACTCAATTTTTATTAGTCTGAAGTTCAGTCCTTATTTTGTCTTTTCTTGGAACTGTGTTTTTTGGGTATAGAATTTTAGGTTGACAGGTACTTTGTTTTAGCACCTTGAATGTATCTTCCAGCTATCAAGTGTTCTTGTTGAGAAGTCATGAAGATACTAATTGCCTTTTTTTCCTCAGGTGCTTAAATGATTTTGTCTTTGGTTTTCTGTAGTTTTACTATTGATATGCCCAGATACGGATTTCACTTCAGTTCTGGAAAACTGAATTCTTGGCTATTATTTCTTCAAATACTGCTTTTGCCCTGTTCTCTCTTCTTTCTGGAATTCCAATTAAACATACCTCTTTTCACTGTATACTGTATATCTATCCTTTGCTGTATTTAAATTAGTGAAGAAATATTCACCATACAACAAGTATTTTTTTTTAATTTTGAATTTTATGCAAAAAATTTCAACTTTTTGTTTTTAAACTTTGTTATAGGAAAAAAGTCTCAGATGAGAAAGTAGATATAATAGCTCCCCAATGAAATCATCAACCAACTTAAATATTTATCAACTGCTGACCAGTCTTGTTTCATCTATAACCCTACCCATTTTCCCATACTTTTGAAGTAAATATTTCATCTGTAGATATTTCAGCATCTATCATTTAAAAAGTTATAAAATATTCCAGTTGACTCATAAATGTTAATTTTTTAAATATTTGTTTGAAACAGGATCCAAATAAGGAGCCATACATTGTGATCGATATATCTCTTAAGCCTTTTTTACCCTAAGGATCCCGTACCATCTTTTATTTTCCCTTGTAATATATTTGTTGAAGAGACTGGGCCATTGTCCTATAGAGTTTCTCACAGTTTGAATTTAAGTTATTGCCCCCCACCCCTTTAAAGACAACTTTGTAGGTGGTGGTGTATTCTTGTATATTAGGATCAGGAGGCACATAATATCTGATTGTCTTTTGTGATGTGAACAGCCATTAATAGATGCCTAGATCCTTTAATTTTTTAGGGACCTTAAAATGGTGCTGTTCTAATTCTATGGTTCCTTTGTTTGTTAGCTGAAATACTAACAGGCATTTCTTATTAACTATTCATTCATATACAAAAGGCAGAATAAGTGCTTGATTTTCATTCTTTTATTTACCAGTTTTCAAAATAATGACTTGATTCACTAGCATCCTCCAGTTCTGACCAATTAGGGTTTATAGGTTTATTTTATTTAAATTATAAACTAATGGATTTAAAAATATCTGATACATTTCCAGATCTTTTTAGTTGATATAATTTGCTCTATAAGGATTATCTATGTTAGGATTAGAAATTAATACAGATTATTTGTTTTATTCTAGTTTGCATTTATGCCGGATCCTCAGTGAAAATAAAAGCCATGATAGTTCAACTTATAGAGGTAAGACTTTTAAAAGTATTATAGGACTTCCCTGGTGGCACAGTGGTTAAGAATCCTCCTGCCAATTCAGGGGGCATGGGTTTGATCCCTGGTCCGGGAAGATCCCACATGCCATGGAGCAACTAAACCCGTGTGCCACAACTACTGAGCCTGCGCTCTAGAGCCCGCAAGCCACAACTACTGAAGCCCGCGCACCCTACCACTCATGCACCACAACTACTGAGCCCACGTGCCACAACTACTGAAGCCTGCGCAATCTAGGGCCCGTGTGCTGCAACTACTGAGCCTGCTTGCTGTAGCTACTGAAGCCTGCGTGCCTAGAGCCCGTGCTCTGCAACAAGAGAAGCCACCACAATGAGAAGCCCGTGCACCCCCATGAAGAGTAGCCCCCTCTCGCCACAGCTAGAGAAAGCCTGCGTGCTGCAACAAAGACCCAACGCAGCCCAAAAAAATAAAAAATAAATAAATAAATAAAAGTATCATAGCTATATTTTTGGCTTGGTCAAAATTAATAAATATCCTGTTTTGCATTAAATTTTATGAATAAAAGCAAAAGGTCTAAGATATTCACATTATATAAAGCTTTTATATGAATATATTAGAATTGAGATTAAAACTATAGTTATAGTAAGACTATATATCTCTTTATATGGTTGTCTTTTGACCTGCATAATAGTCATATAATGTTGCTTGGCTTTTATAATTGTAACATGGTATATTTACCTACATTTCAGCAGTGACTAGCTGTAGTAAAACTTATACATGCTAGTTATCAATCATAAACAGAAGAGAAGAGCTAGCACGGAAAAAAAAAGCTATTCTGATCTTTTTTGCACTAGGAAACTTCCAGAAACTGAGATTCAGTGTTTTTACTAAAGCTGGTTATGTTTAGGTGGTATCTGGGGATCTTGTTAAAGGTAGTGTCATGGAAAACATTAAAAGGAACGGAGTTGTTTACTACTGCATATCACAAATATGGTATATTAAGTAAAATGTTATTAAACAGGGTGTAAATTTTTAGTTATGTTAATTTTAAAGGACTTGCTATTTAACTTTCATTAATTTAAAATTAGGTATATGGGGCTTCCCTGGTGGCGCAGTGGTTGGGAGTCCGCCTGCCGATGCAGGGGACACGGGTTCGTGCCCGGGTCTGGGAAGATCCCACATGCCGCGGAGCGGCTGGGCCCATGAGCCATGGCCGCTGAGCCTGCACGTCTGGAGCCTGTGCTCTGCAATGGGAGAGGCCGCAACAGTGAGAGGCCCGTGTAACGCAAAAAAATAAAAAATAAAAAATAAAATAAAATTAGGTATATGGATTTAGAAAGGAGGGGCAAAAACAAAAGCAGTAATGCCCAGTAAGTTTAAAGCATTTTCATGTGTAGCTTTCATTGGGGATAGAACCCATAACATTTTTTTTTCAAATCTGGAAAAATGATTTATAGTCAATATTCTATTTTAAATAAAAAAATATTAGATAATTTTCTGTAGATAAGTTTACTTTTATCAAAAATTAAATATTACCTTAATATGAGCCCTTGCCTACTTCCTCAATGCATAACACTCTTTGGCTGATATCTGCCAACAATCAAGCTTTGGTCTGAGGGCCCCAGTGGGTAGTCCATGCAGGGAATTGAATGTTGTTTCTTCAGAATTTCCTTCGTCTATCTCAGGAGGATTGAGTTTGGGTGGTGTTCCTTGTGCCCTCTTTTTCCCTTTCTGCCTCTCCCTCAAATTGATTTCATTTCAGGCAGGCAGTTTCCCTTGCACAGGCTGCTTCTCCTTGTTCTTTTTATAAGTCTCTTCCCCACCCCCCCATAAAATAACCTTGTAAGGATGGCTGATAAACATGAGTAGTCTTAGTGATATTCGACATAACCAAGAACTAGTGTCTAAAATGTTCAAATTCCACAAAGAATGTCTAGAAGTCCCTTTTACTTGTGGCTGTTCTTAAAGCTGCTTTTTCTGAAACGTTAGCATTTATTCCTTTCTGTGTAATTATAAGGGTTGTAAGTTTTCCTCCCCATTGTAAATGTAAAGTTTTTCAGCTTTAGTGTAGGTTTTGCAGGGCTTTTTTGCAGGGCTTTAAGCTTTAGTGTAGATTTTGCAGGGCTTTGTGGATTTTGCAGGGCTAGCCACTTAAATGGGCATTTAAATAACATGTGAATTGGGGACTGTCTTTGCTACTTTGTGGATTACATTGTGATTGTTTTTATGTCACTTAGTGTCAGCAAGATGACCTGGGCCATTTGTTCTCTACTTTAATCTCCTTTGATTAAGATTAGAATTCCCTCAGCTCCTGTGAGCCCATATTCTTATGGGAATTTAGTTTATGATGCTCAGCTGTTTTGTGCTTCTAAGAGTGATTGCTTTTTAAAAAATCTTAGTTATCTGGATAACTTCAAATGGCTATTATTTGTTATAAAAGCATTTTATTAATGGAAATGGAAAGCATGAAATTGACCTCATATTCCTACCATACTAACAGAAATTTTTCCTTTGCATTTTAGTTTTTATATAGTTTACTATAAGCATAATGAAGGCATATTTGTGAAAAAGGTAGAATATATTTAATGGATTCTTCATAAGGAATTGGGATAATCTGGCTATATTTCTTTTGTGAGTAATTTAATGGGCAAATTTACTTCATTGTAAAATACTATTTTCATTGTTTAGAGGGGAATTGATAAACGTTTTGATTTCTGTTGTGTTCCTTTTTTGTGGCTAGTAGTAGACCAAAGGAGAAGATTTTTAAATATTTGATTTCTCTTTTAAATTTTTATTTTTTGGCCGCGCCGCACAGCTTATATAGGATCTCAGTTCCCCGACCAGGGATTGAACCCCGGCCACAGCAGTGAAATCACCGAATCCTAACCACTAGAACACCAGGGAACTCCCCAATATTTGATTTCTTAACTTGTTATATTGCCCTGAAAGATTTTTTGATTTATTTCAAAAGTGGATTATAAATTGACTTTATTTTACATTAATGTTTTTAGAGCTACTTGTTTTCCTACTTTTAATGAGAGGAAGGAGATAAAGATTTTAGTGTATGGGACTAAAGAAAAAGGTGGCTGAAAGGAGGTGTTCACCTGACCATTAACTCCTCCCCCCTCCTCAAATTCCTTCTCCAGGAAAGGGGGGCTATGCTAATTAATAGTGAATGAGACAACTGTACATGTGGTTGACAGTTCTCATAGGACTGATGTTTTATGTGTGTATGTACATATGTAATTACGATCATCCCTTAGTATCTGCAGGGGATTGGTTCCAGGAGCCCCCTCTGATAGCAAAATCCGAGGATCCTCAAGTCCCTTATATAAAATGGCATTGTACAGTGACTGAAGTCAGCCCTCCATATCTGTGGATGCAGAACCTATGGATACAGAGGGCTGAATGTATTTTAGTTTGAATTCTGATGGAAATAGAGGAGAAAATGAGATTTTGGGGAGAAAGTTCTCTGACAGTAGGATATGGGTAGAATTAAATTTTATATTTACTGCTATTCCTTATCTGTTGTCAGTGTTGCTCTGTGATTGAATTGACTATAATCTGAATATAGTTAGAAAAATCTGTGAATCTCCCGGCGAGAAGAATGGTTAGTTTATAACTTGCTAGAGTTCTATGCACTCATTAAAAATAATTTCGTAGACTTTGATAGCACGAGAAATTGCTTTTAGAAATGTTTGTCAGGTAATCAGAATACCAAATGATGTAAACTGTGAATGCAAGTATGTAAAATATGTAGACATACAGAAAAAGATTGGAAGGAAGTGCTCAAGCAGTAGTTATGTTATAGTAGTGGAGTCAAGGTTAACCTTTTTCTACTCTGAGTATTGTGTTTTTGTGAAAATAAAAGGAAAAAATCTGCTAGAAAAAAGCATTAGAAGTATAGTTTTCTTAATCATTATTGATGTTTATAATAATTTTGAGAAGTAGGAAATACGTAGATCTTCCCCTAGAGAGACTACCTTTCATGTTCAAGAGACTGTGTCATTATACTCTTTCTTTTATGTTTGACAGATTTCCAGCAAGCTCTTTATGAGTTATCATACCATGTCATTAAAGGAAATCTAAAGCATGAACAGGCATCTAATGTTCTTAATGACATTAGTGTAAGTATATATATGTTTTTTATATTTGATAATTGTTACATATTTCTTTTTGCCTTTGATGCAAGAATCCCTGAAGTGTATAACTTGTGTTTCATTTTATTCAAAATTATAGTAGTGAATGTTTTAAGATAATATTGGTAAGCCATTGTTGCTAGACAGAAATATAGGTATTTTAATCTTTTTCTCTGGTTGTGAGTAGAGCAGGAAATATTACATAAGCTGGGAGGGCAAAAAAAAAAAAAAAGCTCCTATAAAAAAATAATTTGGTTAGACTGTTCTCCCAGTATAGCATAAGAAGGCATTTTCTTTTGTTTGTGGTTATGTTTAGAAATTACATGTATTAAAAAAATTGAGGATTAAATTATTTTAAATTGAGGTTGTATGATTCTAATGTTTGCTTGATGCTAATTTTCATGTTGTTTGTTGTTTGCTTTAGAAAATAATAACTAGATTTTTCCCTAACCTTTAAGTGGATATTCTGTTTCACTCTTTTATTTATTAGAGAATTTAAGTTAGATTCAGACCAGATACTTTCCATGGTTGTTTGGTATTTGAATTGAAAGATGAACTCTCAAATTGTAAGGGTGTTTATTGTAAAGCAGGAGTTAAGTTTCATTTTATTACAAGTGGTGTATTATTCTATTATTATTAGGCTGGGTTTTACACTTGTATAAATAAAATTATCTGCCCAATTGAGAACAGCTTTCATAATAAGTATTATTGAGGTGGTACCTGGAGTTTCTTGATGTCAGTATGAATTTCCTCTGTGCTGCTTTAAGCTTCTGTAGCCTTTTTCTTTGTATGATTTTTGTGCTTTCCTGAGGATGGTCTTAAGGACTTTCTATGTTTAGTAGTTGTGATTTTTTTACCCCCTCATGTTGAGATGTATTTGAGCAGTAGAGGTTCAATATGAGTTTCTCCTTTACCTCTCAACTGTCTCTGTCTGATTAGCTTGTGTTGGAGTAGTCTATTTCTTCAACAACTAATATTCCATGTTTGAAAACTCTTGTCTTGCTCTATTGTTTTGGAGCACTTGCATTCAAGTAGACATAGCCAAATTTCATAGCCCTTAAGAGACTAATGTCTGATCGGCAATTAAGGTTATTTCATTCTGTAAATTAGGCATCAGTATAGGGTTTAGTGTGTTAATGGAATTTGATTCTAATACTTTTCCCATTTATTGAAAATGAATAGTCCAAATGAACTTAATGTGTGTTTTGTTCTTAACTTAGCTTCCCTTTCTTTGAGACCTTAGTGATATATATACTTCTGCAGCTGGATTCTTTGTCATGGCTAGATTCTCATAGTCCTATATTGTACTGTCCCATATCTTAGCCACAGAAACATATCCTGTCTGTCTCTTACAGCTACCAGTTTTTTCTTTAGAATTATATTTCTTTCCTTTACTCTCTGAAAGTAGGCTAATTTTAGGGTTGCTATAGTGCCAGCAAGCTAATTGCAATAATTGAACTATGATCCTTACTAATGGAAAATGGCTCTAAAATTGGGTGTGGGAGTGGGAAGTCGAGACAAATCTAGGATAAATGCTGAAGTATTCATCCAGAAATGAGGGGAGAGTTTCGGGTCAGTTTCTCCAAAGGCTGCAAACATCAGTGCATAAAGAAAATAAAGATAGATTTTTGGTAATTATTTTCATCTTCAGAGAATCTTGAGTTACGAGACAACAGCTTGTAATTATTATTGCATTTTTTAGATTTTTGTTCTGATAATACTATGATCTTTGCATAGATCAGTGTTGACTCAGGCATGAGCACAACATTTAAAGTTTTAGATGAAAAATGTACCATAGTTAACAGTCTTGCTTTAGGTAGGTGTAAGGTACTCCAAATTCCAGTGGTTTCTGACATGAAACTTCACTGGAAAAATGTTACTCATTTGTGTTCTTTATTACTTCCTGAGGTGCTTGTTTTAAGTTTCTTTTTTTTTTAAACTCAAGTTATTTCATGGTAGACATTTAAACATTTTTTTCAACCATTATCTCCCTCTTAATTTTCTCTATATTATGAAACTTGAAAACTTTTATTATTTGTCAACATAGTGGTATTAGGGTTTTGTTTTTAAGTTTTACTGAAGAGTGTTATTCTGAAACCATAATAATTGCTAGTGTGCTATTCTAGTATTTACTATGAATAATTGTATTTTTTAAAATTAGGAATTTCGTGAGGATATGCCCTCCATTCTTGCTGATGTATTCTGCATATTAGGTAGGTATTAATAAGCCTTTATTTCACCTGTAAAAAGTGTTGTTTGGTAAATTAATGTACTGTGTTAAATAAAATGCTTCCTTTCAAACTAAGGATTTTACAAATGTTTCTACAAATCTAGAATATATTGTTTTTTTTACTTTATAGGGAATATATGTTATAAGTCAAATGTGAGTTTAATTACTATTTATAAACTAGCTTTAAATAGTTTTAGTTTATAATTCAAATAGTTTGAGTTTTTCAGAATGTATCCTTATATAAAATTGAGCTAAATTAAGTCATTTCAAGTAAAAAAGCCAGGTTTTCTGAAGATAAGTTAGTGTGAATTATTCAGATTTTAGTAACCACATAATTAATATTATTCAATGCAGATTATCAATGAATGTCAGAATCTCAAACTTAGGATACTCAAGAGGTGTTTACTTTACTATTGTACTCTTTTGATTCTTCTTAATTTTAGAGAGAGCAAGAAGAGCCAAAGTAATCAAAAGTACTTTTGTTTTGAGGATGAGAAACCAACTTTGGAAATAGCAGCTTCTCTATTTGTCCAGAATAAATAAGAATTCATGCAAGATAAGAAAGGAATATTTCTTTGACTTAGAACAAAAGGTAGTGTCCCTCCATGGGAGGCGTGGATTTAAAAAATAATGTATATTACAAATTTATTTCTCTGATTTTAAATCTGAATTAAAGTATCTTTGAGCACAGTTTTCCTCATCAGTCTTATGCTTTCTGTAACTTTGACCTGTTAGAAAACATTACCAAACATTATAATATTCGCTTTAAAATATGACTTATCCTCTGAGACTTTGTCAAGTTGGAATGAATTATTTTAGCTCATTAATCTTAACTCTTAGAATTAGATAGGTTACTTAAATGTCTTACTGAGAATCCCAGATTTGATTGCAACAAATCTAAATGTCTGGTCCTTGATCCTTCAGGACGTTTAAGATTTTATAACAACAGTAAGGTTGGGAACAGGTCAAAATGTGTGTGGACCGTGAGTGATAAATGAAAAGACCATTGATTGGTGACCGTATGTCCCCTTTTTGTTTTGTTCTCCTGGCGTAATTATTAACTGTGCCTTCTTTCAATCTTAAAACTATCCTGGTTTAGATGATAAAGTATTTGTTCATGCTATCTATTGGATTGATTGATTTATGCCAACAACAAAAACCTTTTAAGCTTAATTTTTAGAGCAGGCACTAAAGATATTATATTATGTTACTAATAAACGTAACACGAGACAGGTTTCAATTTAGAAAATTGTTTGTTTTTACTATAAATTTGTGAGACTTAAAGAGTGATTTGTAGGTACCATTGTGTGGAAGCTGTTGTTCATTGATAGTGTCAGGAGTACATTTTATATCTTTCTTTGGGTAATTGTCAATTATCAGCTTGCTAGTAAGTTCTAGTAATTTCTTTCTTTATATTGACTTATTTTATTAGGATATATTTTCCCTTCATAGTTATTTAGTTATATAATATGAATTATTATTACAAGTCATTGCTTTTTACTAGTAACATGAATTCATGAAGATGATGTTTGGTTGCTCTTGGGAAATTTCTTTTAGCCTATCCAGTCCATTTTTACAAGCAGAATTAGGATGGCAAACTTGGAAAGAGAATTTCCCTCACCTGCCCCCTCACTCACGTACCCCCACCCTTGGCAGAAAAAAAATGATCCAAGGGTGACCCCAGACCAAGGTAGGGGAATAGGAGTAAGAACGTGAGCTACCTCTAATAATGATGATGATAATTATAATGATGATCACAGTAATAATAATGTAGGTGCCATTTTGGAGCACCTTCTGTATGTTAAGCATTTAATTTCATTTAAATCCTCACAGCAGTTTTTGTAAGGTAGATCATGGATCAGAAAATCGAAGCTCAGAAAAGTGATTTTTCAAGGCCATACAACTAGTATAAGGCAGGGTTTGAACCTGGGTTTTTTTGGTTCTAGAGTCCATGATCTTTCTAGTATATCATGTTATCTTTCTGATATTTTAACAGTTGTAAGAGAAATCAGTGCTGTACTTTCCTGGTTAAGATAACAGTTTCCTTTAAAAGTTTAATCATGTAAGGGTGAGGGGGCCTGAGAGCTATATTAACGCGAAAGGAGAGTCTGATGTGACTTGATGCACTGATGGGACCTCTGAGCTGGGTTAGGTGGTTGGTGATACTGGGCCTAGAGATGGAAATGGCTGAGGGCTTTTTAGGAAAATCAGAGGGAAATTAAAGAAAACTTATTAGGTGCTGATTTGGGGTTGAGGAGTCAGAAATAATGAATGAATAATGAATAATGAATGATTTCATAAGTTAGAACAAAAAGAATAAAGAAAACAGGGAAAGCATAATTGGAATAGTAGAGTCCTATATTGATTATTGAGATAGTTTAGCCAAGAAATTTACTGAGGTCCCATTAAGCATTTCCTAACATGGTCAGAACCCAGAGAGTTAATCAGGTCCGATGGCTGAGAGGAGAGTAGACTTTACTTGAAGAGGATGAACCTGCTACCCAAATGCTCTCATCTTGGGGACTTTGTAGGTAGATCTTAGGGACTGTAGGGCCTTTGAGGGTAGATAGATATTGGTTAAAAGAATAGGCCCACTTTAGTCCTGACCCCTCAAGATCAGTATCCTTGAAGTTCTAGGCTGAGGAGGGACCAGAAGACTAGATAATGAGGAGACAACTAGGAGTCCCTGGAAGGAATTGTTGAGATACACACAGATTAAAAGTCTTATTGATAGATGGAGATTGTACTGCAATTTACATTGTATAAATTACACCCTGAAATTCCCTTAATACGCTTGAGCTGACTGTGTGCTTAGCTGTAGTGGCCAGAATATTGGGAGATGGCACTGTCCAAGAAGGAAAAGTGAAGAAGGCCTGGGAAAATATGGATGTGTTTAATGATAGGTCCTCTTCTCTTTTCATTCTTAGTGATGGCAGTAGAAAGTAAACTGAAGCAAAGCAGTTGTAGGATGTCTGTCTGGGGGAGCCCTAGAACTCTTAGAGGGCAATTTTTATTACATCACTAAAATTGGTGCCATTTTCTATAGCACATTCTAAATATGAATTGACTTTAAAAATAAGGTAATGGTGTGTAATCAGTTAAAACAATAGTCCTGAGATCAATTTTGTAATCCTGCTAATCCTGGTTGAAGTTTTTGATGCTTACCATTTAGAGCTAATTGTTTATTTCCTCTATACTTTAGATCAGAAAATTGTTTGACAAATTTTTTGAATAATGTACTGAAACTCAAGGAGGTCTCAGTTTTTAAAAAACATATTTCAGTAGGAAGAAAATGAAAATCTCGAGTGAAGTTTTGTTTGCTGACTAGAATTGTAATTCAAAATAGGATGTTAAAAATATCTTTTAATACAGTTTTCATAGAGTTGGTGACCAAGTAGCTTGGTTAGAACATGGTACCAAGGTGGCCAAAGTCAAGGGTTTGATCTTCATGGGTAATAGGATCTTTAGTATTAGAAGAGATCTTCGTTGTCACCCAGTTCAGCTTTTTACCTTAGCATCTCTGACATGTGGTTGTTTAAACTTTGCTTGAATGTTTCCCTTTTTTTTTGGCCGTTCTACGTGGCTTGTGGGATCTTAGTTCCCCAGCTAGGGATTGACCCCTGGCCCTTGGCAGTGAAAGCGCCAAGTCCTAAGCACTGGACCGCCAGGGAATTCCCTAATGTTTCCACTTTTGAAAACAGTATTTTTTGGAAGCTTTGTTGCTTGCAGTGCCTTAGCACATAGCTCCATAACCAACTTACCATTTTATGGATATGCCATTGGTCACAAGGTCAGTTTTTCAGTATCAGGAGAAATTATAAGTATTTATATAAGTTTTTATATAAGTATTTATAAATTATAAGTATTTATATAAGTTTTTAATAAGTATTTATAAATTATAAGTATTTATAATTTATAATATAATAATAATTTATAATATATAATAATTTATAAAATTTATAAATCTTTTAAGTATTCATATGCACATGAAGGACTGCTTATGCTTACCACAGTTTAAATTTTTTCCCCAAATTCAGAAGAGGAGTTTTAAATTTAGCTAGTTTTAAAGAAAACAGGTATCTTATTATAGTTGTGGAGTCTAGAAAAATCAAACTTTCATCTTTCTTTTTCTTCATCATTATAGATATTGAGACAAATTGTTTAGAAGAAAAAAGCAAGAGAGACTATTTTACACAATTGGTATTAGCATGTTTGGTAAGTTTTAAAAAATACTTTCCATTTCTAAATTTTATGTGGAATGATTATAATCACAGATAATCATGTTAATGGAGGAGGGTATTGACATTCAGTTGACTATTCATTATAAGGTGAGATTTGGGTTTTGAAATGGAATGCTTTGTAAAATTAGACATGCTAATTTTTTTCTATGAAATAGGCATGCTACCATATCACTTAAACTATCTATGCATAGAAAACCTTTGGTGATATTCCTGACCTAGTAAGTTCCTAACTAAGGAAAAGGTAAGCATCTATCAAGTGAGTAGAAATGATATGGACAGCTTTTAAACTGAACAATTTTTCATAAACTGTTAGGCAAGGAGAAAAAGAATGGAGGTAGTTTAAAAATAATTAATTCTAGAGCTCATCATAATCATTGTCTAGCAAACCATTTTATGTTCATAAATTTAAAACCAAGGTGGAATGCCATTACTCAGACCTGGAAGAATGTCCTTGTCTTTGCTGCGAGGACAGACAATAGAATTTGACTTAAACAGTAGAAACCAAAGAAGGCTGAAATGCTGCATTATCTTAAAGAAAATTCAGTTGACAGACTCAATTTTAATCAGAATTACATCTGTAGTTCTTGTCATTTGTAGGTTGTGTACAGCATGGCATATAATTTTTAGTGAAGTTTTAAAAAGCTGTATGTTTCAGAACTTGGAGAGTCATCATTTTTGTTAGATTGAAGTTCCAAGCCTTTTTATAAAGTTGTTGATGTATATATATAAGGTGATTTTAATATTCTTATTTGGGAAAATAATTTTGAATATGTTTTAAGATTGTGAATGCATAGTTGGAATGCTGAGGAGTAAAATGGCCTTTAATATTTTTTAATACAGTATTTAGTTTCAGACACAGTTCTGAAGGAACGCTTGGATCCAGAAACATTGGAATCGTTAGGGCTTATCAAACAATCACAGCAATTCAATCAAAAGTCAGTTAAAATCAAGACAAAACTCTTGTAAGTACATGTATTTTTATGTTGCAGATCAAGTACCTGAGCATGCTTTTTAGTTCTCATGTTGAATACTAGAAGTTTCTAAAGGCGTTTTGAAGATTTTTGTTGTTGTTGCTGTTAGCATGTGTCTTGTGTTTTTTCCTTTTAAGAGTAGCCTATGGTTATTGAGTCAGCAGTGAACTTTACCTGTGTGAAACCAATGTTAATTTTTTTCTGTGTTAGAAGTTAAAATAATATTCAGTGCTTTTATTACTACCAATAAAATAATTTACAACTGTGGCTTTAAGGTATATTCTTGTCAATGATGGAAATAGTGTTATGTTATTAGCGATATCCTTTCCTTGTGTAATTAACATTGGGGTGTCCCTTGAGAATCACTGTTATTTTCTATCCTAAAAGATAGACAAAGAGGTAAACTTTCAACAACTGTTCTTATGATTGTTTTATATAAGAGAGTAAGAAAATTCAGTGAGAAGAACACAATACTCTTATGCAAGCTTGTTAATTGAAATTAATTTTATCTGCTTTATGATGTTTAATTTCAGTTATAAGCAGCAAAAATTTAATTTGTTAAGAGAAGAAAATGAAGGTTATGCCAAGCTGATTGCTGAATTGGGGCAAGATTTATCTGGAAATATTACTAGTGATTTAATCTTAGAAAATATCAAATCTTTAATAGGTAAGACATATCTATATATACTATGTGTTACTAAGATAAATTTTTTTAGCTGTTGAAGAATATCCATAAAGACAAAACTAGTGCATTCCCTATAGTTTTTTGTTTTTAAATTAAGAAACGAGAGAAGTGTCTAGCTTGTACTTTTAAGATTGTTATCAGTAATAAAAAAATTTGGGATGATATTTATAAGAAATCTTGTTACTCTTACCTTTGTGTTTGTATTAGTTTCTGCTCTCTAGTATTTCTATCTTTAATTTTTAAGTATTTTCCAATAATTTTATGGAGGGCAGAAAATAAGCAAGTGTGAAACTTTAATAAAATCTTCGGTGAACTCTTGAAACGTGGAGTTGTTTAGTTCTTTTGAACTTGATTTTAAAAATACCGAGCAACTTTGATACACATTTTATTTTTACAACAGTCTGTTAAAGTAAGTGCAGATGTTGTAAAAGTGTAACAAATAGGAAAGTGTTACTTTCCCTACCTTTTAAATAGAATTTTGCATTGAGCATTTGGAGGAAATAGTTGGCTTCTGTAGAAAGGAGGAATGAATGATAGAAAAATAGGGTACTCCTGATTTTTCAAGAATGGAAAGAGTTTTTGCTATTTGTTAGGTGTTATGCTATCTCAGTGAAGATTTTGCAACACCTAGATGTCTTAAATTTTGAGACCTGTTGGAAAAGTCATATTTCCTGCTTCACTGGTTATATTTTAGAGGATGCTTATGCTCAATTCTCAGTTCTTTCTCTGTTTTTGAAATTTATGGATGAGAAAGAGAGAGGAGGTGTCCCAATCCTTATCCCCTTTCTCCAGTGGGGACCCAGATAAAACCAGATTTCCTACAGTAATTTTTGTTTTTAGCTTAAGCTTTTGGTGGCCAACAGGTATAGAGGTCCTGGAGCTTTTAGTTTAAATTTACCCTTTTCTTTGAAATAAGTCTAGTTCTGGCAGCTGATTTAGTCTCTTTGCTACTTTCTTCCATTGTCAAATTAACACCAAGACTGGCAGTCCCCTAAGGCTGCAGGGCTCTTGCTTACCTGTGTAGCAGTGACCCATTAAAAAAAAAATCCTCCTGTAGGGTTTCCTTTCTGTTCTTTCCAGGGTAGGCTCTACATTTTTCCTGCAGAATTTTGATCTAGTTTGAGATGTTTGTCAGTACTGCCTTGCTATAAGTTTGTCTTTCCTTATATCCTGCCATGTACTCTCTTAAGACGGTATCCCCCACAAAAAAATTCTCTGCTGTATAAGGTCCTCACTTTTTTTTTTTTTTTTTTTACTTTATCTGCTTATTTGTTGACATCTCTTGTCTGTCCTTGTTTCTTCTATTTTTTTGTCCTTGTGAGTTTATACTTTTTTAGTCCTTTGTTATTTTGGGGACATTTCAAAGAGGGATTTTCTTGAAAGTGTGCTTTTATCTAACTGGGAAAAATGTATGCTGTGTACTTTCTTTTCTTGAACTTTGTCCCCGTAGAGAACAGGTTATGTTACTGTCTCTGAAGAACAGTGTGACAGTCACAACTGCAAGCTCATAACTCACATGGATATTCCATGAATATAAACAATTTGATTTCTTGGGCTAAATCTCTGTTCTAGTCCGTCGGGTGTACTCCAAAGCACGCTAGCCCAGAAACACTCAAATGCCACCTCTGCAGTGTAGCCTTATATGGCCACCCCCACCCCGACACTCCCTGTGGTTCACTGTCTTTCTTCTGAGCACTTAACACCATATAATGTGCACCGTACTTTATGCCACACCCCCACTGGAATGTAAGTAAGCTCCATGAGGACAAGGGTTTTTGTCTGTTTTGTTTAGTACCTCTAACCTCAGTGCCTGGTATGTAGGTGCTGGATAAATACTCATCAAAAAACGAATGAATGTTTCCCCCTTTCTAGTAGACTTTATAGTGATTCTTAGCCTCTTTTTTCCCTGACATGGAGAATTTGAGAAAGTTCATCTCCCTGGCTTAGTGTTTGTTTCTCTTTGGCTAGCTGATTCCTTCCTCCCCCATTGTCTGAGAAAGGAATTTTTCATTGACATTAAAGTTGAGGTTAAGACTTCAATTCCAGTGAGTACTCACTCTTTTAAGAGTTAGAATTTATCGGATTCCCCCTCAGTGCAGACTTCAGGTAGGCCTTGTCTCTCATCTGTCCAGAGCAGTTCACTAACATAGCATCTGGCTTTTCGTGGCATCTTTGGATGAGTTTCCTCTTGTTTATTCCCATTGCTTTCTCTTTAGGAGCAACCTAGACAGATAATACCTTATACAAAGCTATCTCAGGTCTGATCTCCTTTACCAGCCATTGACAGAACTGATATCTGGTTTGGGAGGCATGCATTTTTTAAAAAATAAATTTATTTATTTATTTGGCTGCGTTGGGTCTTCGTTGCTGCACGTTGTCTTTCTCTAGTTGTGTCAAGCAGGGGCTACTCTTCGTTGTGGTGCATGGGCTTCTCATTGCGGTGGCTTCTCTTGTTGTGGAGCAAGGGCTCTAGGCTCGCAGGCTTCAGTAGTTGTGGCACGTGGGCTCAGTAGTTGTGGCTTGTGGGCTCTCTAGAGCTCAGGCTCAGTAGTTGTGGCACATGGGCTTAATTGTTCTGCGGCATGTGGGATCTTCCTGGACCAGGACTCAAACCCGTGTTCCCTGCATTGGCAGGCAGATTCTTAACCACTGTGCCACCAGGGAAGTCCCAAGGCATGCATTTTAGATACACTTATATTTCAGGGTACTTGGTCTGATCAGGAGAAATCCTTATTTATCATTCTATAGTTAAAAGATAGTCATTTGCTCCCTAAAAGATTCTGGCACATCAAAATGTTTATGTCCTAAATATAAGAAACATTATATCCTATCAGATAGCCTTGGGCTGTTTACTGCAAGAAAGCAAGGAATAGGAACCATTATAAGTCTGCCTGGTGTTTGTCTGACAGTAAGCTTGAAAAACTTAACAGGAATGGATAGTGATTATTAGTCCCTTGAGCTGCCATATCATAGATGCCTCACAAATGATCCCTGCATCAAGATGGCAAAAAGCATCTTTTAGAAATTAGAGGAAAGGATATCAGAGATGGACTCTTTGGCCGTGGCACGTGGCTTATGGGATCTTAGTTCCCTGACCAGGGATTGAACCTGGGCCCTCGGCAGTGAAGGCGTAGAGTCCTAACCACTGGACCGCCAGGGAATTCCCAAAGATGGACTCCTTTGATTGCTGAACTAAACTATAAGCACTCTACTCTTCTGAATGCCCTTCAAAAAAGTAATAGCTAGGTGTTCTTTTCTTTCTTCTAAATTAGTGGTCAGCAAACCTTTTCTGTAAAGGATGAGATAGTAAATATTTTTTTCCTTTTGGGTCATATGGTTTTTGTTGCAGCTACTCACTTTTGCCATTGTAGTGTGAGAGCTGCCATGGACAACATGTAAATAAATGAGTGAGTCTGTGTTCCAGCACAACTTTATTTACAAACATCGAATGGATTTGACCCATAGGCCATGGTATGCTGATCGCTGCTCTAAATCAGAAGTTCTGGCTAAAAATTAGTCATGGAGCTAGCTTACTTGAGTTTTTTTGTTTATTTATTTATTTATTTATTTATTTATTTAGCTGGCTGTGCTGGGTCTTAGTTGCGACACGTGGGATCGTTGCCACGTGCAGGATCTTTGTTGTTGTGTGTGGGATCTTTAGTTACGGCATGTGGGCTCTTAGTTGAGGCATGTGGGATCTAGTTCCCTGACCAGGGATCGAACCCAGGCCCCCTGCATTGGGACTGTGGAGTGTTATCCACTGGACCGTCAGGGAAGTCCCGAGTTTGGTTTTGGAGACTGAAAATGGTTCTTCCTGGTTTTGGGTTTAGTGGTCCAGCATCTTTTTGGCCTTGGCTCTCTGATCCTTTCCTTCTCACCCAGAATCAGAGCCCTCTTCACCAAACCTCAGGACCTTCATTTGTCGCCTGGTGTCCAAGACTGTAGATTTGGCTGGAGATGGGGAAGGGTGGGGTGAGAGTCTCTCCTCCTTCAGTCTCACAAGTCCTCTTGGTTGCTTGTTAAGTGACCAGAGAAACATTAAAAACAATAAAATCCCAAGTCACTTTTATCATATTTTTGGCCTCTAGTTGCAATTACTTGCTCTAATATACTGGCCATCTTGTCCATCTTTGGGGAGCCTTCAGTTACTTTTCAATGCATTTTTTCAAAGATGTATCATCCAAAAGGTGTGAACTCTCCTCAAGGGTAGGGAAGGCATTTTATTAATCTCTGTATCACAAGCACCTGGCACTTAGTGGGTAGTTATTTAATGTTTTTTTTAAATGAAGGAATGAATCCATGGCCATTACAAGTCCACCGTTTAAAAATGTTTCCACTTCCGATATGGTTCCCTGTTTGTTCCTCAAAAGGCATGTGTGTGTGTATATTCCTTAATGTAGCTGGTGGTAGAGGTAGGGAGCTAGGCTTATGATCTATCTCAGGATCACATGACTGTTGATGCTTGGGCTGGATAAAAGCCTTTTTTAAGATGTTTGAGCACAAGAGTGTCTGTTCTACCACAGCTGCGATTAGAAAAAAATTATTTTGGACATTTCAAGCTTACTTATTGTTACTAACATCTTGTATGTGAAATAGCTTAACTGTTATTTAGCAAATCTCTAAGGTTTCAAAAATGGTTTTCTAAGTCCTTGGTTTGGCTACTTTTTCCATATTATGTAGCATAGGTCATTCCAACTGATTGGACTAACTTATGGCACCTGAGACATATAATAGAAAATTCCTAAGCCAGTTTTTCTTTTGTGAAAGATACAAAGGTTGTTATCTATTATAAATAAAAGTTGCATCCTTTTTGTGTAGGTTACTACCTTAAATTGCCTCTAGAAAGAAATTGGTAGTTAGTTGACTGTACAGATCACTGTTAAAATAGCCTTCATGGAATAATACTGTTTAAACAAAACATAATGTCAATGGTTCATATTGTAGCACATTGAAAATATAAACTTTAAAGCAATGTGAATGAAACACATTTCCATGTAACATGTTGCTGTTCTAGTCCTTATTCACAAGTTTTGTGGATGTAGCATAATGGGTAATTATAAGCCAGCCATTTTTTCAACAGTATATTCAGTGTGTATCTTTTGTCCTCTCTGACAGAGTAGAGCATTATTCATTTTTATTTAGTTGACTGAACTTTTATATTTAGTAAATATAGGAGCAGTTATAAGGTTGGAGAATTTGCTAGATCCTACTTCCATAATCTGTTGTCAGTGGCTTTTTTCCCAAGCTTTATCTAGGCATAATTGATATACAATAAAATGTGCATGTTTGAAGTGTACAGTTCGAGTTTTAACACATGTATGCACCTGTGAAAACATCACCACAGTCTAGATAATGCACATTTCTATCACTCCCGCACCCCCGAGTTTCCTCTTGCCCATTTGTATTTCACTCCCCCCCGTACTTCCTCTTCTCCTCCCCAGGTAATCAGTGATCTGCTTTCTGGACTATAGATTAGTTTTCATTTTCCATAATTCTTTTATAAATGGAATCATATAGTGAGTTTTTTTTGGGGGGGGGTCTGGCTTACTTCATTCAGCATAATTATTTTGTAATTCATCCATGTTGTTGCTTGTATTGGTAGTTCTTTCCTTGTTATTGTTGAGTAGTATTCCACTGTATATTCTACAAATATACTGTACTACAGTTTGTTTATCCATTCACATGTTGATGGCTATTTCAGTGTCCTATTATAAATAAAGCTGCTGTGAATATTTGTGTACAAGTCTTTGTATGGACATAGATATTTTTTCTCTTGAGGTAAATACCTAGGAATGAAATGGCTGGGTCACATGGTATGTGTTAAGTTTAACTTTTAAGGAAACTGCCAATTTTACAAAGCAGTTGTACTGTTTTACATTTTTTATTTCCACCAGCAGCATTTAAAAATTCCAGTTGCTATTTTGGAGTCACTTGTACATTCATAAGCCATACTTTTTGGGGGTGCAAGGACAGGCAAAAATATTTAGAAGTTTTCTTCCCAGAACTTTAGGTAAACATCTCTTTGGAGAATTTATGAAAGTCGGGAGCTCTTTTCAGTAAGAGACAATCACTGTGTTGGTCCTTTCTTTCCTTAGTATGAGAGAAATGGAAGAAAATGTATTCTTAACTTTGCGTTTCATAAAAAGAGGAAAGAAATACTTCTTGTATTTGGAGAGTTTGGTTTTCTAAGTGATCGCTAAGATACTGCAAATTAGACATTAGTTTTATAGCATTTAATATACTTAAGTGTGGAGATAATAGAAGTAACTCTGGAAATCATTAATAGGATATATAAGAATTTTCTTTGAAAAATCCTTTAAGTCATCCATAAGGTATAGTGTTTAGACCTAACATCTCTCCCTAAGTTAACACAGTTGTTCTTTTTCCTCCAGCATTAGAAGAAATCGGTGTTTATTTGCTTGCCCCAGATGAAGTGGTTAGCTTGCATTTAAGGGCTATGCCTAATGAAAACTACGTAATTAAAAATACTAGAATTCCATTCAGCTTGATGCACAAGGCATGAGGGAACTGATATAAACTGAGGGAACAGCCGATTGATATGCTCACTCTGGGTCATAAGCATACATTATATTGAGAGGAATGGTGGGTGGAATTGACTATATCATTTAAATTCTCTCTTTTGTTTATTTTGCTGTGTGTAAATGGTTGCATTCTCAAATGCATGTATGATGTGACTGTGCTATAATATAATTATGGTAACAGCTGAAGCTGAATGCAAATAGAGGTAATAATGTATTAAGAGTAGGGTGGCTGATAGGAATGTTTATTAAATTCATGTCTATTGGCCCTTTTTAGCTTACCCTAGGAGATTAGCAAGGATAAGTAGCCATCGGTACCTATTAAGTGCTTCTTTCCTTTCCCTTTCCTGCTCTACCTAGATTGTTTTCTTCCTTCTCTGTTTGCTTGTGTTTCTGTCCCCAACTCCTTGTATTCTCATCTTTTTAGTATTAGCAGTATACCTGTTTTCCTTTAGAATGCTGCCCAAAACTATGAATGTACAATTACGTTTTGTAGTTTTGTTGTATATGTAAGATAAATTAAAAAATGATTAGAAAAATCATGCTCTACTTTCATGAACCTGAACTTTTAACTCATTTGTCAACATTCCAAACACTTCTACATAAAACATAAAAAAACCTTTAGTTGCCTAACTTGTAAGATGTATTGTTTGATTTTCATATTTTGCTAAGAATTAAAAATGTGAATCTCTTTCACTAGCGTGAGTAATCAAGAACTGATGAGATGACGTGGCATAGAAGAAATTTCACTTGACTTAGTGTCACAGGTCCTGGGCTCCAGCCTAAGCCCTGTCACTAACCCACTTTGCAATCCTGGGCAAGTCATATTTCTCATCTGTAACATGTGGGGAGTAGCCATGATGACCTTGAAAATTATGAAGATTTCCCTCTGGGGCAGGGGAAGCAAACTTGTAAAAGAAGTTGTTTTTAAAAACATTTTTATTTTATGTATGTTGTCCCTGAAGGTTAATGGTTTTTCTAGAGATTATGTATAATCACTTTTGAATTTGTGTATATCCATCTGTTGCAGGATGCTTTAATCTGGATCCCAATAGAGTTCTGGATGTCATTTTAGAAGTGTTTGAATGCAGGCCAGAACACGATGACTTCTTTATATCTTTATTAGAATCTTACATGAGTATGTGTGAACCGCAAACACTGTGTCATATTCTTGGGTTCAAATTCAAGTTTTACCAGGTAAAGAAAAATGTGTGTGTGTGTGTGTGTGTGTGTGTGTGTGTGTGTGTGTGTGTGTGTGTATGTTAATTTTGTGATTTTATATGTAAAATTTAATTTGAATTTTATTTCTTAATGACTGGTTTCAGCTCAGCCATTCTAGCAGAGGGGATAGAAAAAACTACATTAGTGGTATGAATGATGTGATGTGAAAGCCTAGAAGAAAGCATAATACATTTTTGCCTTGAGAGAGATGGAGTCAGGGAAGACTTCACAGATAGAACCTTTTTTAAACCTGGTCCTTGAAGGATGAGTAGGAGTTTGTTGAGAGTTGTCTGTGCAGAAGTAACAAATAGTGTGTCAGTGAAGACGTGGCAGTATGAATGTACGTAACATATTGAAGAAATGGTACATAGTGGGGAAAAGAAGGGATAGGAAGTGAGGTTGGAAAGGTTGGCATAACTTTAGATTGTCAAGGGCCTTGAACACTGTGTTGACTTAGAATTTTATTGTACAGGTAGTTACCATTGGAATTTTTTATGGATGTGAATAAATTCTTGAGGCATATCTTACATCATTTTTCACTTAAACCACTACAGTAGTTGTCTTGCAAATCTATACCTCTGATTATTTCTCTTTCAATCTACCTTTCATATTATTAACTACTGTTACATTCTGAAAGAGATCTAATTGACTCACTGTTTAAAAACCGTTGCCTGCAGGATGAAATTCAGACTTCTAAATGTGGCAGAAAAGGCTCTTCACCATCTAGCCCCATTCTTTCTTTCTAGCCTCATCTTTAATGATTTTTTCCCTCAAACCTCATATTCTAGTCATATTCAGTTACTAGCCATTTCCTGAACTTAGGTGGGGGCATTGCTATGTATAGACCTCTGTTTACATGCAGTTCTTTATAACTAGAAAACTGTTCTTACCCACCCCCTGTCACCTATCTTTTCTTCATCTTGTAAACTCTTATTTATTTTTTAAGAACAAGTGCTACTTGTGCTATAAAGTTTTGGTGGGCACTTCACCCGTGCATTAGTCAATTCTTAAACTCTGTTCTCATAAAACTTGACACAGGCTTCTAGCGCTTATCAGGTTATATTAGAATAAACCATGTCTGTCTCCTTTGCTAGGTTGTTAGTCATTTAGGATGGTCTATATTTTACTAATTTCTCTGGTTTAATTTATTGCTTAGCCTATGGTAAACGTTCACTAATTACTACAAATGAGTGATCTATGTTTTAGGAAGATAACTCTCTTGATAGCATGGAGGATTTTAATGTAATAAAGCCTCTGTTGCCTTTTTGGAATAGCTTTCCTAATATGTCTACCTGCCTGGGATATTCAACTAGTCAAGAAATACTCATTTATTGAGTTTTTAGGGTATGTTGTTGCTTTGCTAAGCACTGAGGATACTCTGGTGAAGAGTGTCTATTCCTGTCCTCTGGAGCTCAAGTTCAGGATAGTAAGACAATTTTCTTTTAGGATTCTCAAATATATACCACCTACTGCCTTTGCTTATCTTCAGTTTTCCATTTCTCTGGAATGCTCCAGAAGAGAAATTAGATCAGAACTAAAAGCATATAGCTTTGTGATACCAAACAAGATGAATGGCAGGGTTTTGGGGCAAGAGCATTTCACCTTGGTTCAAAAATTAGTGATGGCAGATGTTCCTATTCCTACCAGTAGCCAGGGAGTCTGCTCTTAGTACAGAGAAAGAGAAGTTCAAGTGTTTCATCACATTTTAAGAGGCACCTTGATTGTTTTGGGTTTGAGAACACGTGAAGCCAACTGCTGAAGTGACAGGGTAGCTGAAATTTAACTTGGGCACGATTAATTAGAATATAGGTTAGGGCTTTGGAGACTGAGGTTTTCAGAGCATATTGCAGTGAATATGGATGACCTACTGCTTGATATCAAGTATTGTTAGTTGAATGTGAGTTTCAGAATTAAAAATTTTTATATGAAAATATTCCTCATAATGGTAACACTTTTTGAGCTGAATTAAAATATCCATGGGGGTTGACCAATGTTAGAATGATCCTTTTTTTAGTAGATAATGGGGCCTTTGTCTTATATAAGAAATACCCAACCAAGAAACATTTGATTTAGAAATGACCTATTATTAGAAAGAGTGACCCTTGTATTGCTCTGTATAACACCATTCCCTTATTTCTCTTGCCTGAGCTATCTTGTTTTGAGAATCTGCAGTCTTAAGGACCACTGCGGGCAGGGGAAGAAATGTCAGGGATTTTAGATAATTTGTGGTCTTGGGAGGTAAAGTAGGAAAAGCCATGAAAATAAAAAACTGCTTAGGGCATGTAACCTGGGGAATTGGCTCCTAGGCATGTATGCTCACCCTGTGTATTGGTCCCTTGCCTATCTCCACTCTCCCTTCCCCATCACTACCTGAAAATGTTTACTCCCACTGACCATAACCCATGTTTTCACCAGTTGGAAATTATTTGGATTAACAGGCTTCTTTTAATTTTTTTCCTTAATGCTTAGGACTTCTAGGCAAAGGTAATTATTTCTGCTATGAAGTCAGTGAGAGTGATTTTAATTCTGGTTTCAACCTGGGGTCAGCTACACTGGATGTTTTGACTTGGAAGGGTGGTACAGATGTAAACAGTTTTAGGGCACATGACCAATTTGGAAAATTGGGCAGGTATGTCTGTTTGATTCTCCTAACAGGGATTGCTACAATAGAGGGTTTAGGGACAGCATGCAGCACAAAGGGCAGGAAGAAAGGAGTACTAGAAAGTATGAGGGTATTGAAAGACAAACTTGGCTGGAGTTGTCTTGCCACAGGAAAGAGGAAGGAGATGATGACTCTCACCCTTGATTTCTGGATTCAAAACACAGTAATAGTAGTAATAGTACCATGGTCAGGCACCGTTATAACCCCACATTTATTCATTTAAGAAATATTGACTGAGTACCTCTTATGTGCTAGGTAGAGTGTTGTGGGTAGGAATCAGGAATTCAGTTTGGGGCATGTTAAGTTTGAGATACCTGTTAAAGATTTAGATATCCAAGTGGAGATGTTGAGTAAATAACTGGATATTTTTTTTATAAACTTATTTATTTGTTTATTTTAGTTTTGGCTGCATTGGGTCTTCGTTGCTGCGTGCTGGCTTTCTCTAGTTGCGGTGAGCGGGGGCTACTCTTCACTGCGGTGCGTGGGCTTCTCATTACGGTGGCTTCTCTTGTTGTGGAGCATGGGCTCTAGGCACACGGGCTTCAGTAGTTGTGGCTCGCGGGCTCTAGAGCACAGGCTCAGTAGTTGTGGTGCACAGGCTTAGTTGCTCCGTGGCATGTGGGATCTTCCCGGACCAGGGCTTGAACCCGTGTCTCCTTCATTGCAGGCAGATTCTTAACCACTGTGCCACCAGGGAAGTTCCAATAACTGGATATTTGGATCTGGTGTTCTAGAGAAAGGACTGGGCTAGAAATAGAAATGTGGGTACCAAAAGCACATAGATGATATTTAAAGTTGTGATACTGGATGAAATCATCAAGTTGGATATAGAGACATAAGAGAACCAAGGGCTGAGCCTTGGGGCACTCTGATGTTAAAGGGCCTGGGAGAAGAGGAGGAACCAGCAAAGGAGGTATAGAAGGAATACATACATATAAGGAAAGAGGAAAACAAAAAGAATATAGCATCTTGGAAGCTAAATAGAAGAAGGAATGATCAATTCTGTTAAATATCTCTGATAGGTCATTTAAGATGAGGACTAAAAAATGGTCATTGGATTTATCAGCAGGGAGGTCAGAACTAGCCATATTTGTAGAGTTTGGGTGGTGTTAAGAGAGAGAATGGGGAGAGTGGTATTGGAGATGATGAGAACAGACAACTCTGTAAAAGAGTTGCTACAAAGAGGCACAGACAAATGGGGTGATAGCTGGTAGAGGAAGTGAACTCAAGATTTTTTTTTTGAAGATGGGAGAGAGAATACATTTATATGCTGACGGGAATGATTGAATAGAAAGGAAAACTGGTGATGTAGGAGAAAGAGGAGAGAATTATTGGATCAGTGTTCTTGAGTAGGTTAGAGAGAATGCAGTTTATGGCATAAATGATGGATGGAGTTTAAATAGGAGCATAGAGAATTCATCTGTAATAACAGGTGGAAAGGCAGCATATGTGGGTACAGTTGTTGGTAGGTGGGTAGATCTGATGGTGAGAATTTATTGAAGTCCTATTGATTGCTCCAGTTTTCGTGCTGAAATAGAAAGCAAGGTCATCAACTGAGAGAGAGGATGAGAAAGGAGGTATTGGAGCTTAGGAGAGAAAGTAGGAAATTGTTGTGTAAGAGAGTGGGAGAGTGAATGGACAAGAGAAATAGAGTATGATTGGCCAGCAGCATTAAGGACCCACTTAAGGGTGGATATGTGAAATTAGTACTTTGAGGAGTTGTAGCTATTGGTAATATTAAAGTTCAGGATATGGAGTGAATGGCTGAGATAGGGTACAGGAGATCTTTGGAAGAGTGGGATTCAAGGAACTGAGAGACCAAGATGATGGAAGAATCACTAATGTGTATTTGAAAATCTCCAAAAATTAAGAAAGGAATAGAGTTGGAGACAGTGACAGTGAATCAGAAGCTAAGATCATTCATTGCTAAGTGAAGGGCAGTGACCCAGGAGTCCACAGATGACAACAATAGGACATAACTAAAAGTGGCAGAGTAGAGAACTCCAGAGCTCTGTTCCTTCATGAAAACGACTAATGAACTGGCAAAAAACTGAATCGACTTTTACAGGACTCTGGAATTTAGTAAAAACTTAAAACAACTAAGGAAAGGTTTGGTGAAGAAAGAAGCTGCTGTTTGGGGTAAGAGAGTACTGTGATATTTTAAATTGCCTGCCTACTATCCCTCACACCCAGATTGATGGTGGCTGTGAAGATAGAAGCCTGCACTCCTAGTACAGATTGCTAATGCCAGAGGATATAAAGAATTGTTTTCAAAGAATTCAGCCTGTCTGGCTGCTACCTGAAGGACTGGTGCAAGGGCCTGTCGTTTTTTTTGCCTGATTGGGAGCATCCCTAGGGCTGGGGTGGCTTTTTATTTTTATTATTATTATTTTTTTTGTGGTACGCGGGCCTCTCACTGCTGTGGCCTCTCCCGTTGCGGAGCACAGGCTCCGGACGCGCAGGCTCAGCAGCTATGGCTCACGGGCCCAGCTGCTCCGCGGCATGTGGGATCTTCCCGGACCGGGGCACGAACCTGTGTCCCCTGCATCGGCAGGCGGACTCTCAACCACTGCGCCACCAGGGAAGCCCTGAGGTGGCTTTTGCCAAAAACATTTGAAGACACAACTATTGGCTTTAGCAGTCTGGAGTAAGAGACAACAGTCAGACAAGCAATGGAGAGACTGAAAGCCTGGGAAGGAAGAAGTTGGATAAGGAGATACACAGGGGAATAAGGGCTTTAGAAAAGTTCCTGTATGTACCATGGAATCAGAAAAAAAAAAGGCCAAGCACATGCCCAGAACTGGATGCATGCTCAGAAAAGGGCTGAGAAGACCCTAAGCTTTTTCCTCTGGCTGGCCTTCAGGCTCTACACAAGCAGGAAGTGAAGACTAAGGCAGAATTGTAAATGGCCCAGCTAAAGTGTTGAGGAGTGCCCTAACATAGAGCCAGTGTGCAAAGACTGGAAGAGTATTTTTTTCTTTTTTCTCTTTAGGCCTTTAAGAAATGCAAAACACTAGCTGACCACTAAGCTAAAAAGAAACAGATTTCAGTGGCCACACACAATAATAGTATAGACTTTACAAAATGAGTTTAGAGAAGTCACTAAACAAACAGCAATAAACCACAGTAAGCAGCATCAACAAATCCCATAGAGGGGGTAGAATCTGATTTTCAGAGTTGCCACACAGTATTCAGTATTCAAAATGTTCAGTTTTCTGCAAGAAATGATGAGTTACGCAAAGAAACAAAGTAAGGGTCATTCATAAGAAAAAGGAAATTAATAGAAACTATCCCTGAGGAAGCCCAGGCAATGGACATCCTAGATAAATAATTTAAATCAACAGTCCTAAATATGCTTATTATCTATAGGTAACCATGGGAAAAGAACTAAAGAAAACCAGGAAAGCACTGTCTCACCAGACAGAGAATATCAATAAAAAATACAGAAATTATTTTAAAAAAAAGGAACCAAACAAATTCTGGAGCCAAAAAGTGTGATAACTGAAATGAAAATTCACTAGATGGGTACAACAGCAGATTTGAGAAGGCTGAAGAAACAATTAGATAACTTGATAAGTTGAGGTTGAAAGGAGCAGAAACAGAAAAGAATGAAGAAAAATGAACAGAGACCTATAGGACACCATCAGTTGTACCAATATGTGGGGAGTTCCCTGGCGGTTCAGTGGTTAGGACTTGGCGCTTTCACTGCCGTGGTCCTGGGTTCAATCCCTGATTGGGGAACTAAGATCCTGCAAGCTGTGCGGGCGGCCAAAAAAACCCCCCTAAAACGTGTACCAATATGTACATTATGGAGTCCCAGAGGCAGAGGAGAGAGAGAAAAGGACAGAAAGTGTATTTGAGAAAGTAATGGTCAGAACCTTCCCAAATTTGATGAAAAATATGAATCTACACATCTGAGATACTCTAGGAACACCAAGAGGGATAAACTCACCAGAGACCACACTGAGACACATTATAGTCAAATTGTTGAAAGACAAAGAGAATCTTGAAAGCAGCAAAACAGATGTGACCCATTGCATACAAGAGATCCTCAATGAGATTGACAGCTGATTTCTCTTCAGAAGGCAGTGGGATGGCATATATAAAATGCTGAAAGAATGAAACCAAGAATTCTATATCCAACAAAACTATCCCTCAAAAATGAGAAATTATGATATTCCACAGTAAACAAAAGCTGGGGGAGTTCGTTGCTGGTAGACCTACCCTACAAGAAATGCTAAAGGGAGTGCTTTGGGCTGAAATGAAAGGACACTAAGCAGTGACTTGAAGTCATATGAAGAAATAAAGAACACCGGTAAAGGAAACTATATAGGTAAATATAAAAGCCAGTATTACTGTATTTTTTGGTTTGTAGCTCCTCCTTTTTACTTATATGATTTAAAAGACAAAGGAATAAAACAATTATAAATCTGATCGGCACACAATGTATAACAATATAAAAGGGGGAGGGATAGAGATTTATAGGTGCAGAGTTTTTGTATAATATTGAAGCTAAGTTTGGACTTCCCTGGTGGTCCAGTAGTTAAGATGCTGTGCTTCCAGTGCCGGGGAAGCGAGTTCGATCCTTGGTCAGGGAACTCAGATCCCACATGCCATGCTATATGGCCAAAAAAGAAAAATGAAGCTAAATTGATATTAATTCAAAATAGGTTATTATAAGTTTAAAATGTTAATTGTAAGACTCAAGATAACCAACCACTAAGAAAATACTTTAAAAAATAAATAGAAGAGGAAAGGAGAAGGGAATCAAAATGGCACAATACAAAAAAAGACAGTAATGGAGGAAATGAGAAACAAAATAATACAAGACATATAGAAAACAAATAACAAAATGGTGGAAGTCCTTCTTTGTCACTAATTATTTAAATGTAAATGGGTTAAACTTTATAATTAAAAAGCAGAGTTTGGCAGAATGTATAAAAAAGCATGATCCAGACCCACCAAGGTCACGTGACTTTTCTGTACTGTTAAAATTCATTGTAATAAAATGAGAGGGGAAAAAAAAAGCATGATTCAACTATATGTTATCTATAAGAAACTTACTTTAAGATCCAGATATAAATATGTTGAAAGCGAAAATATGGAAATAGATACCCTGTGCAAGTAGTATCCAGGAGAGAGCTGGGGTGGCTATATAGACTTTAAGACAAAATTTTTTATAATAGATAACAAAAGGCATTATGTATTGATAAAAGGGTCAGCCTATCAAGAACGTAATGCACAACAGTTAATAAATGTATATGCACCAAACAGAGCCTTAAAATATATGAAGCAAAGATTAACAGAATTGAAAGGAGAAATAGACAGTTCTACAATAACTGTTGGATATTTCCATACCTCACTCTCATTAATGGATAGAACTAGACAAAAGATCAATAAGGAAATAGAGGACTTGAACAACACTGTAAACCAGTTAGACTTAACAGACATATATAGAACACTCCACCCAACAACAATAGATTACACATTCTTCCTGAGTACACATGGAACATCCTCCAGGATAGACCTTATATTAGACCACAAAACAAGTCTCAGTACATTTGTAACATTGAAATCATACAAAATATCTTCTTTGACCACAGCAGAATGAAACTAGATCACAGATGAAACTAGATCACAGCAATAGTGAGGGATAGTGAGTGATAGGAAATTCAGAGCTGGGTGAGCTTTAGGGAGCATGGAGGGAGAATAGTCTGAAAACAGCTATAAAAAGCAAAGATGATTCATACCCCATCTCCAGGCCTAGTAGTGTGAGGGGTTTGGGGAAAATAGCCACCACTTGACTGGGTTACAGTGGGAGTGGTGTTCCTAGTGAGTCTAGTCTTTGTTCAAGTGTCAAGGTGAAGCGGGGAGGAGAGGTTTAGAGGATATATTTAGAGGAGAGGTTCAGGATATATGGGGTTTTGCTGAGGATGGATCATGAATTCCAGAGGATTCCATGGAAGTTTGTTAAGAATGCTATGGATAGGTAGGATAGGACAGAACAGGGATTGTGCAGAGCAATATGAAGATCAGTTTACGGGAGTTGACATTTGTCCTGAGAGTCAGGGGCTTCTTGTGACTCATTTAAACAGAGATAATGGGAAAAATGAGAATATTCCTGGTGGATTCAAGTCAGGTAGTGAGCTTTTGTGGGTTTGCTCCAAAAGTGTGACCACCATTTGTTTTTAACGGGAAAATGTTTTGATATTAAATAACTGTTTAAAAACCATTTAGAATCAAACTATTGCTAAGTTGAAGACTTATCTGTCTTAAAAATTACAGTGAAACAATGCCTTTTTTATATGATATTTATTAGTTTCGTTAGCTTCATATATTATGTACATAACACCTATCACAATTGTGGGGGGCGCTTAGTACAAAGATCTCATTTTCAGTGTTGAGTAGAAGCAGAACATAATGTATTGTCACTGTTTGCTTTTTATTTGCATTTTGCCATTTAATAATTGCTAGTTGTCCTCACGTCATTCTTCTATTCATCTGACCCCAAGCAGTTTAAAAATTAGGAAAAAGTCTTCTTGATAGCATTCAAAGATCCTTCTGTTTCTCCATAGGGTCCATAGGGCTGACCTGGAATTGGCCATTCCTTGTTTAAAATGTTGAATTATTCATGTGTATTAAGTATAGACACCTGTTTTGAAGGGGAAATCAGCTGACAAGCAGATATACTTAGCATAAACCCCAAGAAATAAAAGAATAGGAAGAAAAGTATAAAGCAGACACAGATGGTTCCATACTTCCAGATTTGTCAGTCTTGTCTATCTGCAGCTCCACTGAGAAGTACTTGAAAAACCAAGTTAAGAAAACACACATATAAACAGAAACCCAAACTAGATGTTATGCAGTATAAAATCTCATTCTGTTCAAGTTTCAGATTTTATTCAAATATCAGCATGTATTGTAAAATGTGTCCATTTTTGAAACTGCTTTCCTTGTGTTCATCAGATGTGCCGGTGTGAAAAGGGATATTCACATAATTATCTTTGTTCTGAATTTGGATGTTATTTATGATCAGGAAGAGCAATGAAGCTTATTGTTGACCTAGAGTTATTTGATGTAATTGTTCTTAATTATTGGTAGATAAATGGATATGATTTTAGTTGTACTTTAGGCACTAAATAGAAACTTTTCTTTTGTTTTTCAAGGAACCAAATGGAGAGACTCCTTCATCTTTGTACAGAGTTGCAGCAGTACTTCTACAGTTTAATCTTATTGATTTAGATGATCTTTATGTACATGTAAGTCCGTCCAGTGGGCTGCTAAGAATATTTGGTTGTTCGTCCCAGGGGTGGGGAAGAGGAGTCGGCAGCCATATATAGCACTCCAGGATTGGTTCTAGGCTCTCAAGTCTTAATTTTTGAAGCCCTATTGCATTACTGCTTTGTGTTTACTTTATAAAGCGAATGAATTTAGTTCATTGGAACCATGGAAATGAAATACCTTTTGTCACCATTACAGAATTCAAGGTTGGCTATGAAGTTAAAGTTCTTAATTGTCGTCAAGGCATACCTCATGGAGAGTGAGGCCAAGTTCTAATCAATGTGGTTTTAGACTTCACTATTATACACAAATTAGGGGAAATATGAGATTACCTAAATAGTTCTTCCTTCTCACCCAAATGTTAATTTTAGGCATTCAGTGTGAATGGGGAACTTTTCATATACTTTTAAAAAAATGGCTTCTTTTGTGTTTTTACTGGATAATAAATGACTGGTATTGTGCTTTTATTGCTGGATCTAGGATTTAGAGGAGTGTGTACGTGATTATGATTTATGATCTCTAGTTTAACAACAGCTTAGCCTGTCAGTTTGAAAACGCTAGGTTTGTAACATAGAAATTCCTGTTTTATTAAGTTGTGCATTAGGATATCTATGAACTGTCCAAAGCTGACATCATCTTCAACCCCTTTGAAATCACTTCCTTGCCTGTCATTGCATATTGTGGTTACAGAGTTGAATGAAACTTGATCACTACCTTGGAAGCAGTCATAGTCTAGCAAGGGAGAAAACATTTTGCATTATACAATAAGTACTTTATTGGAAGTATTCACAAAGTGCTGTAAGGGCCCAGAATAGATAGTGACCATCTCTGTCTTGGGGGGATTTTGGAAGGCTTTTCCAAACTACTGATGTTGAACTGGGAACTTGATAGATGAGTAGGTGTTGGCCAGGCTTAAAAGGTGGGAAGCTTTGTAGGTAGAATTAACCTAATATAAAGGCAGGAGGTTTGAAAAGGCTTCACTATCACCTTAGGGGAACAGCAGGAAGCTCAGAGTGGTTGGAGCCTAGGGTGGTATGTAGGAGAAATGAGGAGGGAGAAAGAATTAGGTTGGGGACCAAACTGTGAAGGGTTGTTAAGTGCCATGGTAAGGAGTTTGGATTTTTTTTCTTGTTGATAGTAGAGAGCCATTCAAGATTTAGAGTAGAGAAGGGATGTACAAACTGAAAACATGGAAACTTGGTCAGAAAAAGGAGAATCTGAAGATGTAGGTGTGAGTTTATAGGCAAGTGTAGACTGGCAGGACAAATGGAAAGTACAAAGATGATGATACATTTATTACTGATATTTTTTAGTTTAACTTTAAATGTAAGCAGACTAAGTGTTCCTGTTAAGGTGACAGATTTTCACATGGTATTAAAAACCAGTTTATTGTTTACATGAGACGTCTAAAACCTGACAAAGAAAGGTTGAAAGTAAAATGGTGGGAAAAATATACTAGGGAAATTATTATTGTCAGATAAAATAGAGATAGTCACTTTATAATAATAAAGTTCTGTTTATGGGAAGATATAATCGTTGTAACTTTATATACACCTAATAACATATTCTCAAAATACAGAAGACTAGAAATTGAGAGAACTATAATTAAAAACTTAGATTTAACCCATTGTAATGGGAGATTTTAGAGGCAATTGCAGTAGACTAGGTAAAAGATGAGGACCTGTGGTAGATATGTGATAGATATATAAGTAAAGCAATAAAAATGGGTTTGATTGCCAGTGGAGAGAATAAAGAATGAGAAAAAGTCTCATTCGCCTCCTTGTACCAGTCCATAATGCATTTTCTCCCACTCCCCTTTTTTGATTAATGGGATAAAGTCTGTAGTATGTGGCTTAATATTTCACTGTCTCCTTTTATTATTTACTGATTATTTACTTTGCATTAGACTTAGCTACTGAAATAGATTATGCATTTCTAGGGACAGGAGTGCTTCTTTTATAGCTCACCATAGTGCCTAGCAAAAGCTACTGAGTAATGGTTTGTTGGTTATGTGTCTAGGATATTTTATGAAATGTCCACAATTGCCATCTTCCACTCATACAAGATGGCTGAACTTGAGATACTTGATCCTTTGTTCATAATGGAGGGTCAACTATCCACATATTACCTTTTCTTTTGTAATAAACTAGAAACTAGTTTGTGACTTAAGTCAAATAGGTATCTAGAAAATGAAAAGTGAGACGTCAAGCTGTTCATAATTTTTCGACTTGAGATTTTTCATTTTTTTTTTACTTATTTTTTTTATAGATATGGAAAGTTTATTTCTAGATCCCATGGAAATTTAATGGAGTTTGTAGAGTTTTTTTTTTATAACTAGAAGAAAATGTGTGTATTTTCTAAGCATGACAACAGAAGCAAGCAATAATAAAGGAAACCCGTATAAATTATCAGGGCTGCTCTGAGAGCTATACCCATAAGCATAATCTTTTTATTTTTTGCAGGTTCTTATTATCTATTTTATACATATTAGTGTATATATGTCAGTCCCAAGAGATTTTTCATTTAGAGGAATCAACTTTGCCCCTTTATGTCAATCAGTAGTTTACCTCTCCCAAATTGGATCTGTATGTAGTACTTTATTTAATTTGGAGTTTGGCCTTTAAAGGGGAAATCTGTGATATTTTTAATGGAACAGGTACACATTTTCTTGGGTAAACTAATAAATTCAATGGTAAGCATCACTGTTGTAGTATTATATTAATTTAGGACCTCTGACAGACAGAAGAGATGAAACTTTGAATTGCTACCTGAGTTTAAGAGGTGTACAAAATTCAGGTACTTAATCCTGTCAGGTTATATGAAAATAATGGAGAGAGACCTATTTAGAAGGGAAATTATGGTCATAAATAGGCCAGGCTTCTTATTTAGTTTTATCAATGGAGAGTAGTTAGTGTTTGCATTTTGTATGTGCAAATAGTATTAGCTGTTTTATGAAATTTTAATGAACCATTTTTAGCTTCTTCCAGCTGATAATTGCATTATGGATGAACACAAACGAGAAATTGTAGAAGCTAAGCAGATTGTTAGAAAACTTACAATGGTTGTACTGTCTTCCGATAAAATTGATGAACGCGAGAAAGAAAAGGAAAAAGAAGAGGAGAAAGTGGAGAAGGTATATAGTTTATTCTGATAAAATTAACATTGTCTCCTGGATTTAGAATTATGAAATTTAACTTGTGATGGTTAATCAACTTATGGAAGGATAATTTCTTAGTTTTGATTGTGGTGAAACCTGGTTTTTGGAATACAAATTTGCAAAGGTGGTTTTGTTTTTAATCTGATTGGCACCTTCCCAAAAGAGGCTGCAATGTTTTTTCTTATATAAATTTCAGAGTGTATTCTAAATAAGATAACACACATATTGACTATATTTGTGTTCTGTGTATTAATGTCTCTCCAGTCCTAAAGGGATTCTCAAAGATGAATGAATTCTAGTTCCCTGTGGCACAATAAAACATTAAGTAGGACCTAATTTAATTCCAGGTCTATAAACTGTCATGCTTTGGCTGCTAAATGAAAAAGCAGGTCCTGTTGTTTTTTTCCAATCACTAAAAAAACTTGATTGTACTTTCAGGAAAATACTGTTGCAGTTCCCATGAATGGCAGCTGTTGTTGACATACATTGTTGTATTGTTTGGCTTAATTTTTTAAATGAAATATATATAAAGATTTATTGGTGTCTGTATTCTGAGTATCTTTGCTGTAATTATTCCTTTTTAGCCACCTGACAACCAAAAACTTGGTTTGTTGGAAGCCTTGTTAAAGATTGGTGATTGGCAGCATGCACAGAACATTATGGATCAGATGCCTCCATACTATGCAGCTTCACATAAACTAATAGCCCTTGCAATTTGCAAGCTTATTCATATAACTGTTGAGCCTCTCTACCGAAGGTATGTTACTGTATGCTTTACTAATTGAGGTAGAAATAGTTTCGGACTACAAAAAAAAAAAATCTGCATATTTATCTTGTCTCCTCAAACCAGGCATATATTTTATTATGTTTTATCAGAAGATAAGAACTATTCACAGAGCATATCAGTTTGGCAGGTATTAATCAGTGACTTGTGTCCCATCATCTAGACCAGGTGTTGCAGAATTTGTGCTGCAGTGTTGTCTAAAAACTGTATGTTAGATTTCTAGGTTGGGTTTGCTCCGTTGAGAGTGAAAACTCCATTCTTCTGTTTTTGACTTTTCTTCCTCTCTTGGGGGGCAGAGAATTCCTAAGCTTTTTACTTAGTGTAATTTTCCTCTATCCTGGGTTGAGTGGCTCTGAGTGAGGACTTTGCCTCTCTGCTTGCCTTATCTCTCCTGGCATATAGGCTGTTGTCCTGGAAATTGGTAGTGCAGCCTCTCTCATCATCCCTAGTTACTGTGTCGACCAGTCCGCTAGCCCTCAGCCTACTTGCAGGATACTTAGGAGCAGTACTGGCAGCAGCTCTGGCTTCAGCCCCACAGATCAGAGCCTGCCTCAAAAGCCCCAGCCTTGTGACTTGTGCATAGCTGCTGGCTGCTGCCTTCAGTGCCACCTGGGCTGTGGACCATGAAGGCTTCTTCTCAGAGAGTGACCCCTGTGACTCCACAGCGGGACACCTGCTCAGCAGGTGAGAACTCTGGGCATGCTGTCCTTTTTAGTGTGACACACCCTCTTTCATTATGCTGCTCACCTTCCCTACCACCACCTACCTCATATTCAGTCTAGGTAGTGGAAGCCAGGTTGAGAAATGTTTATTAACTTGAATCAGTGTTGTTATATCCATATTTTTCTGTTTCATCTTTGTGTCTCTGAGGTCCATCCCTTGTTCCCCATTCCCATATCCAGATTCCTGATATTGGCCAAATTTAACTAAAAACAAATTCATATGACGTATGTTAAATGTTACTTGGAATCTGCATTTCTCTGATTTCCTTTTCTTATGCAGTTAATTTGAAACAGTCTCTTAAGCTCTGATTTTTTTTTCAAATGAGTATTGTTTTTGTCTTTTTCTACCAGTTAAATTATTTGGTATAATGAAGTTAGGCACAGTTGAAATAGAGAAAGCAAATATAAGCAAGAAAAGTTTTACTTAATGATTAATATGATTGTGTTAACTTAAAATGGGGTGTTGTATAGTTATATATATATAAATTTTCCTTCTTTTTGTAGAGTTGGCGTTCCTAAAGGTGCTAAAGGCTCACCTGTTAATGCTTTGCAAAATAAGAGGGCACCAAAACAAGCAGAGAGCTTTGAAGATTTGAGGAGAGACGTCTTCAATATGTTCTGTTACCTTGGTCCTCACCTTTCTCACGATCCCATTTTATTCGCCAAAGTGGTGCGGATAGGCAAGTCATTTATGAAGGAGGTTAGTAAGATTTTTTTTCTTCCAAGCAGAAAACTAAATTATGGAATGAAACTGTTCTGAGTATATTCTCTAGAAATAAAAAGAAAGTAAACTTAAGAAAAGGTTATGTTGAGTAAGGTTTGGGGAAAGTCAGTTGTGTCCCAACCATTTATACATAAAAGCTTAAATCCAGCCAGATTATTAGTCAAGTCCTCCAGATAGGAAAATATGCTTTGGACATGTGATTGCTTTTTGAATCCCCTTATAAATAGTGGTTAATTCAACATTCTTTCCTCTTGCTTTTCTTCTCAGTTTTCTTGGCTGCAGTTTTGAATCATTGCCATTATTTGTGTGAAGTCCCTTCAACCTCAGACTGTTCAGGATCCATTCTTTTTTTTTTTTTAGTAAACTTTTTATTGAAATAAAACATAATACAGAAGGCACACAAACCATAATTGTACAGCTCAGTGACATTTTCCAAACTAAACACCCATGTATCCACCATTTAGATCAAGAAATAGAACAGTACTAGCACCCCAGAGTTTTCCTTAAATGCCCTTCTAATCACTACCCCAAGGGTAACTTTATGTTATTATTTTTTTTATTGATGTATAGTTGATTTACAATATTGTGTTAGTTTCAAATGTAGAGCAAAGTGATTTGGCTCTACATATATATGTGTGTATATATATATATATATATTCTTTTTTTTGGATTCTTTTCCATTATAGTTTATTACAAGATATTGAATATAGTTCCCTGTGCTATACAGTAAATCCTTATTGTCTATTTTATATATGTTAGTGTGCATCTGTTAATCCCATACTCCCAATTTATCCCTCCTACCCCTTCCCCTTTGGTAACTATAAGTTTGTTTTCTATGCCTGTGAGTCTGTTTCTGTTTTGTAAATAAGTTCATTTGTATCATCTTTTTAGATTCCACATATAAGTGATATCATATAGTTGTCTTTCTCTGTCTGACTTACTTTGCTTAGTATGGTAATCTCTGGGTCCATCCATGTTGCTGCAAATGGCATTATTTCATTCTTTTTTATGGCTGAGTGATATATTCCTATGTGTGTGTGTATATGTATATATCTATATATACATATATAGATATATATATATACACATACATATATATATCTATATATCTATCTATATATATATAGATATATACATATACACACACCACATCTTTTTTATCCATTCATCTGTTGATGGACACTTAGGTTGCTTCCATGTTTGGCTTATTATTTCTTAAAATTAGCTTCGAGTTATAATTTACATACAATAAACCTCACTTATTTTAAGTGTACAATTTGATGAGTTTTGACAGATGTATACAGTTGTGTGTCCACCACTGCAATCATGATATAGGATATTTTCATCATCCCAGCAAGTTCCCTCTTGCCCCTTTGCCATCAATTCCCTCCCTTCATTGCTGGTTCCTGGCAACCACTGGTAGGCTTTCTGTCACTGTGATTTTGCTTTTTCTAGAACTTCACATAAATGGGATAGTATAGAATGTACTCTTTTTTGGTCTGGTTTCTTCCACTTAATGCTTTTGAGAGTCATTTCAGTTGCTGCACATGTCAGTAGTTCTTTATTGCTGTGTAATATTTCATTATATAGATATAACAGAGTTTATCCATTCACCAGTTGATAGGCATTTGGGTTGTTTCTAGTTGGGGGTCATTATAAATAAAGCTGCTATGGATATTCTTGTACAAGTCTTTTTTTTTGGGGGGTGCACATGTTTTTGTTTCCCCAGGAATGGGATTGCTGGGCCATATGGGTAAGTGTATGTTTAACTTTTTGTCAAACTTTTCCAACATGTGTGTACCATTTTGCATTCCTGGGAGCAATGTATATGACTTCCATTTGCTCTACATCCTCATCAACACTTGGTGTTGTCAGTCTTTTAAATTTTAGTCACTCTAATGGGTGTGTAGTGCTATCTTTTGTGCTTTTAATTTACATTTCCCTGATGATCAGTGATGTTGAGCATCTTTTCATGCCCTTATTTGCCATTTGTAATCATCTTTGTTGAAATGTCTATTCAAATCTCTTGCCCATTTTAAATTCAGTTGTCTTTTGTTCTCAGTCTGATTTGCCTTGTCATTTTGTTTACTGTCTTTTGAAAAGCAAAAATTTAAAATTTTGATTGATTCCAGTTTAACAGCACTTCTCTTTTATAGTTTGCTCTTTGTGTTCTAAGAGATCTTTGCCTAACCAAGGTCTTAAAGCTGAAAAGAATACACAATTTCTTTTCAATTGTAAAGCAACGTAAGCAAAAGAATCTAGAAATCCTTACAAGCACAAATGCAGTTTTCTCCAGTGTTTGGCGATTGCACCTAATTTTAATTTTCGACTGCAGTAACTATATAGAAAATTTAACAACTGTTGTGTATTAATCACTTGAGACCTGAGATGTTTGATTTGGCTTTAAATACTTAGCTGGTAGATAACTTTTTTTAATGTTAACAAATTTATATTGTGTAAAGGTATGCTGAAGAAACCTGCTAAGTAGTTCATTACTATACATAATATTTATTATATAGCATATATCCATATAAAGAAGAAGTATAACAGTGTTTCATTATCTTGATCCTTATCATCTGAAAGGGATGTCATGTTAACTAGTACTTGTTTTTCCCATTGCATCGTATTGGGAAGCATGTGAAGTCAATTTGTCCCATTACTGGTGATGTTAACATCGATCACTTGGTTAAGATGATGGCTGCCAGGTTTCTCCAGTGTAGTTATTCTTTTTCTCTTTGTTGTTAATATGTATCCTGTGGGGAATTACTTTGAGACAATGTAAACAGCCTCTTTCTCATCTTACTTTTACCCACTAATGGTATTCTTTTTTTTTTATGCTATTCTTTTTCATTGGAAATCTTAATGTTCAGATCTCTTCTTCTGAAATTCTTTCTTTGGCTACAAGTATCATAAACTTGTAAGCAGGAGACCGAACATCAAACTTGTAGAAGTCCCATATACAGACATATGTATAAACATATACAGATACAATATTGTTATCAAGATACACAGGTGCTGAAGCTGTTACTCTTCCACTCTGCCATCTCCATTGCAGCCCTCATTTATCTCTGTTCTATCAGAATTGTGTCTGGTGCCTGCCCCTAACTCTAGTCTCTATTTTTGCAGAGGTAGAAGGGTAGAAGGGAAGCAGAAAAAGTTTATTTTGATCCCAGTGTGGGAAGAAATCTGTCTTCTCTCATTGCTAAGGTTGTGGTAGAAAAAGTGAATCTTTCCAATGATCTGACTTAGAATTTTGGTTCATTGTTTTTACCCGAAAAACATTTCACTATAACAAATCATTATGTGTTTATAGGTTTAAAAGGCTTATGTTACCTAGCTAGGAATTTAACCCGAGTTTTTAAGATTGCTTCTAAAGGGGGAATATGACCTTAGTTCCAAATAATGTATTTACAGTGAAAAAATCTCTCATTCATAAGCTTGAGGTTGCTTGTATATATAAATTATGCATATTAAAAAATAGTTTATGTTAGATATCACTTAACAGAATAGTCTTTTCAGCCTATAGTTATTTGAAATCATTTATGTCTCTGATTGTGTGTGTGTATGTGTATGTGGCTATGTATTTCTGAAATTTGAGGTATGTAGTATAGAACTATCTAGTACAGTGAACCTCAAACTTTATATGCATCAGGATCACCTGGGGGTCTTCTTAAAATACAGATTGTTGGGCTCCACCCTCAGTTTCTGATTCAGTAGGTCTGGGTGGGACCCGAGAATTTGCATTTCTAACATGTTTCCAGGTGCTACTGATCCAAAGAGCAAACTTTGAGAACTGTTGTTCTAGTATATTAACCAATTTTGGTCCTTATTTCAGGCTTAAAAGAGGGAGGTGGCTCTATAGAATATTTCTATATGAATGCACACGTTTTGGTATCTTTAAATTTTTCTTTAATTATAAAGCACAGCTTTAACATGCTCACCTGACATACTTAAGTGTTTTTGATAGCACCTACACACATAAAGATGAATTCCTTGGTGCTTTTTTGCATCCAGCTGATGTTAGTGGATTAAGTTGTTTCTGATAGTGATTACTAATATTGAGCTCTTACCCTGTGTCAGGCCCTATTTTAGTACCTTACATGCATCAGCTCATTTAATCTTTACCAAGCCTTTTGTGCTCTAGATTAAGTAACTCGTCCCAGGTCACACAGCTAGTATGGGACAGATATGCGAGTTCAATCCAGGCAGTCTGGCTTCAGAGGCCAAGCTCAAAATCACCATGCCCTACTGCCTGTACAAATGGAGTGTGTCTAAAATTGAAGAAATGATTGGTTGTGTAAATTTTTCAATTCTTGAAATTCCTTGCTATTTTAAATTATATCTGTATCAGTGGTGTTTTATTTTATCTCTGCAGTCTCTGTTTTCATCTCATTCTGTGTATCTCATATCCAAGCTTTTCTTGTCTTACTGAGTTCATAATATTTTTTTCTATGACAATATCCAGATACTTTTGGAGAATCTGTGTCTGTCCTCTGTGTTCTGCTTTCTTCCAGACTAAGTTCATTTGTCTTTTATATGCTTTTTTTAGGCTATTTATGTTTCCATAGTAGCCACAGCATTTCTTTTCATCTTAATATGGACAACTTCTTTTTGATATAGTGTGAGTGAATCCTCACACCCTTCCTACCTTATTTATGACCAGTCCTTCTCCCCTCAAGCTACAGTTTGAGTATTGGGTTCTCTTTTCAATCTTTTCTGTAGTCTGGAATAGGGGAGTGAATAAGCTCAGTGAGGCTGAGTATAGCCCTCAGTTTAGGGAACCTCTGCTTTGTCTTCTGAGATCCTGTTACCCATCCTATGCTAGGCATGCCCAACCAAGTGGGTATCCAGCTCCCTTGGAGTTTGATTCTCTCATCCATCTGAGCACAGTTCCTTTGAGAGACAGCAAGCCTTAGTAGCCAGAATCCTGCTGGGCTTCTACTCAAAAAGGTTTTTCCTCAGGCTACTTACTTACC